GGAGTCTCTCACAACAATGTTTCTGTATACAGTGCATTCGGAAAGTATTCAGACCCATTGACTTTTTCCATATTTTGTTACGTTACAGCCTTATTCTAAAATTGATTAAATAATTTTTTCCCCTCATCAATCTACACACAATACCACATAATGACAAAGTGAAAACAGGTTTTTAGAAATTTGTGCAAATGTATTAAAAATAAAATACAGAAATACCTTATTTACATAATTATTCAGACCCTTTGCTATGAGACTCGAAATTGAGCTCAGGTGCATCCTGTTTCCATTGATCATCCTTGAGATGTTTCTACAACTTCATTGGAGTCCACCTGTGGAAAGGCACACACCTGTCTATATAAGGTCCCACAGTTGACAGTGCATGTCAGAGCAAAAACCAAGCCATGAGGTCGAAGGAATTGTCCATAGAGCTCCGAGACAGGATTGTGTCGAGGCACAGATCTGGGGAATGGTAACAAAAAATGTCTGCAGCATTGAAGGTCCCCAAGAACACAGTGGTCTCCATCATTCTTAAATAAAATATGTTTGGAACCACCAAGACTCTTCCTAGAGCTGTCCGCCCAGCCAAACTGAACAATCGGGGGAGAAGGGTCTTGGTCAGGGAAGTGACTAAGAACCTGATGGTCACTCTGACAGAGCTCCATAGTTCCTCTGTGGAGATGGGAGAACCTTCCAGAAGGACAACCATCTCTGAAGCACTCCACCAATCAGGCCTTTATGGTAGAGTGGCCAGATGGAAGCCACTCCTCAGTAAAAGGCACATGACAGCCCGCTTGGAGCTTGCCAAAAGGCACCTAGAAATCAAATCAAATTGTATTTGTCACATACAGTGAGGGAAAAAAGTATTTGATCCCCTGCTGATTTTGTACGTTTGCCCACTGACAAAGACATGATCAGTCTATAATTTTAATGGTAGGTTTATTTGAACAGTGAGAGACAGAATAACAACAACAAAAATCCAGAAAAACACATGTCAAAAATTGTATAAATTGATTTGCATTTTAATGAGGGAAATAAGTATTTGACCCCTCTGCAAAACATGACTTAGTACTTGGTGGCAAAACCCTTGTTGGCAATCACAGAGGTCAGACGTTTCCTGTAGTTGGCCACCAGGTTTGCACACATCTCAGGAGGGATTTTGTCCCACTCCTCTTTGCAGATCTTCTCCAAGTCATTAAGGTTTCGAGGCTGACGTTTGGCAACTCGAACCTTCAGCTCCCTCCACAGATTTTCTATGGGATTAAGGTCTGGAGACTGGCTAGGCCACTCCAGGACCTTAATGTGCTTCTTCTTGAGCAGCTCCTTTGTTGCCTTGGCCGTGTGTTTTGGGTCATTGTCATGCTGGAATACCCATCCACGACCCATTTTCAATGCCCTGGCTGAGGGAAGGAGGTTCTCACCCAAAATGTGACGGTACATGGCCCCGTCCATCGTCCCTTTGATGCGGTGAAGTTGTCCTGTTCCCTTAGCAGAAAAACACCCCCAAAGCATAATGTTTCCACCTACATGTTTGACGGTGGCGATGGTGTTCTTGGGGTCATAGGCAGCATTCCTCCTCCTCCAAACACGGCGAGTTGAGTTGATGCCAAAGAGCTCGATTTTGGTCTCATCTGACCACAACACTTTCACCCAGTTCTCCTCTGAATCGTCAGATGTTCATTGGCAAACTTCAGACGGGCCTGTATATGTGCTTTCTTGAGCAGGGGGACCTTGCGGGCGCTGCAGGATTTCAGTCCTTCACGGCGTAGTGTCTTACCAATTGTTTTCTTGGTGACTATGGTCCCAGCTGCCTTGAGATCATTGACAAGATCCTCTCGTGTAGTTCTGGGCTGATTCCTCACCGTTCTCATGATCATTGCAACTCCACGAGGTGAGATGTTGCATGGAGCCCCAGGCCAAGGGAGAATTACAGTTATTTTGTGTTTCTTCCATTTGCGAATAATCGCACCAACTGTTGTCACCTTCTCACCAAGCTGCTTGGCGATGGTCTTGTAGCCCATTCCAGCCTTGTGTAGGTCTACAATCTTGTCCCTGACATCCTTGGAGAGCTCTTTGGTCTTGACCATGGTGGAGAGTTTGGAATCTGATTGATTGATTGCTTCTGTGGACAGGTGTCTTTTATACAGGTAACAAGCTGAGATTAGGAGCACTCCCTTTAAGAGTGTGCTCCTAATCTCAGCTCGTTACCTGTATAAAAGACACCTGGGAGCCAGAAATCTTTCTGATTGAGAGGGGGTCAAATACTTATTTCACTCATTAAAATGCAAATAAATGTATAACATTTTTGACATGCGTTTTTCTGGATTTATTTGTTGTTATTCTGTCTCTCACTGTTCAAATAAACCTACCATTAAAATTATAGACTGATCATTGTCAGTGGGCAAACGTACAAAATCAGCAGGGGATCAAATACTTTTTTCCCTCACTGTACACGTGTTTAGCAGATGTTATAGCGGGTGTAGCGAAATGCTTCTGCTTCTAGCTTCGACAGTGCAGTAATATCTAACAAGTAATAACTAATAAGAGCGCTCAGGACCTCAGACTGGGATGAAGGTTCACCTTCCAACTGGACAACGACCGTAAGCACACAGCCAAGACAACGCAGGAGTGGCTTCGGGAAAAGTCTCTGAATGTCCTTGAGTGGCCCAGCCAGGGACTTGAACCTGATCTAACATCTCTGGAGAGACCTGAAAATAGCTGTGCACCGACGCTCCCCATCCAACCTGACAGAGCTTGAGAGGATCTCCAGAGAAGAATGGGAGAAACTCCACAAATACAGGTGTGCCAAGCTTGTATCATCATACCCAAGAAGACTCGAGGCTGTAATCGCTGCCAAAGGTGCTTCAACAAAGTACTGAGTAAAGAGTCTGAAAACTTATGTAAATTTGATATTTCCGTTTTTTTTTTTTTTACATTTGCTAATATTAAAAAAAATATATGTTTTTGTATTGTCATTATGGGCTATTGTGTGTATATTGATGAGGGGAAAAAACAATTTAATCAATTTTAGAATAAGGCTGTAACGTAACAAAATGTGGAAAAAGTAAAGGGGTCTGAATACTTTCCGAATGCACTGTATGTTTGACAGCGCACAGAGGGAGATTGAAGGAATATAAAAAAAATTATAATGTGTGAATTACAAGATCTGAATGTGACCATTGAAAATTTCATCCTGATTTGCAACCCTCCTTTTAAAAATGGGGAATTTAAAATGTTCTTGTCATTAATATTTGATGCCTTAGAAGATAGTGCCGGCAGCACTCAGAGAAAATAAAGCATGATGCATACTTCATAAATACATGCATGGGTGGGTGGCCTACTGTACAATACAACACACAGCTGCATCAAAAATTCATCAGAGCAGCAACCCCCTCACACATAATTAACCAGTAAAAAGCTAATGGCTGAAAACAGGGCCAAACACCCCTTCTTCCCACCAATCAGGACCGGCTGGTGGGTTTCCTGTATTCACTTATTATTCACATGCTCGAGAAACGTGAGAGCTAGGCTAATCTCGTTCCCAGACACTTCAGCCCAAAATATGCTGTGCGCAATAGCCTTCTTGGGGAAGAGGTGAGGGATAGGCTATTTTGTGATGTGTACTGTGTCAGAAGGCTACAGTAGCCATGCAAAGACCTGTAACTGGAGAGCAACACAGAGTGGAACATTAACTTGATGCTCAACACATTAGTAGGTCTATATGATCCCAATAGTTAATAATGTATATGGATTCAGAAAGACTGCCAAATGCATGCATCAACTGCAATATTTCTACCTATTGAGAGTTAATCTTGAACCCCAGTGTTGTGTTATTACTCTGTGTGAACTATCACCAACTCAACACCTGTCACACTGAGCTTTTTCCATACACTGCAGGAGTCAGGATATTCACTTTCATTATATGACAGGGACACTGTCATGCATAATCGATGGTAACTCTGCGACGGTCCCTAAACATTTCTACAAGAGCTCTTTCACGACACCCCCTTAAGTTTCTGATGAAATCCTCTCCTGAAAAGTGGGCTAATGAGTCGACCGACCGTACAAGGAAACGCAACCATGATTATGAAAAACTGAAGTATCGCGCTGAATTATTATAACGAGCTTATCTATTTAGTTGATATCTATTGAAGAGTATATTTGTCTTACGGTCTCATTCGATTAGGTTATTGTAGTGAATTGTTGAGTTTCGTTCGTTGAAGTCTCTTTGATCAAGGTTTGCAACTGCGCTTTCGCCAGCTTGCTACGTGCGGGAATCTAACCAGCTTTTTCTCCACTCAAGACCAAAATGGCTTTCATATCATCGTTTGACCAGAATTTCTCCCTCGGTTATGACTCGTCAAGGCTTTGCTCATTTTCTACCTTCCCTACCCCTGTTTGTACGACGCTTACCGCGCGAAATAAGTCTAACCACCACTCTCAGGAAAATGTCTCCTAGTGCCACGGACAACATGGACGATGCTATTCGCTTGAACAGGAGTTAACCGGTATGCTATTGCTAGCCTTTCGGTGTAAGAAGATGGATAAGGTACAACAGTAATGGATGTTTCATCTGCAACTATGGACAGTGCTCTGGAGTGCACACCAAGTTATTATCAGATTTGTCACTAGTAACTTCCAGCGAAACGAACAGATCTCAAATCAAGATTACGTTAGCTAGCCTGGTAACAGCTGTTAAAACTACGATTATTAGCACTAGCTAACTAACAAATCGCCAACGTTAGTTCTTGTTTTCCTTTATTGCCAGACTTTAGTTTGATCGGCATATTTACTTTTACACTCTAGTTGTTTAACACATTATTTATTAATATATTGTGAACTATGTCAGCGTGTTAAATTGTCCTGCACGTGTACGTTAGCTAACTAACCAAAACGCTTTAACGGACTTCCCAGCAGCAATCTGTCAAGCGGTATTCTTGATCGAAACTTTACTAATGTATCTTGCATAGTGACTATTTGTTAGCCACAAGCCAGTATTGAGAATGTTTAGACGCATGAATCGCGAGGAACACTTTTCTGGTGTGCAGACGCATCCATCCACTCCCCCCGGGCATGGAGTGGCCTCTCTCCAGCAACCAAACCAGGAGCGCTCGTGGATGGGCATGTTCTCCGTGGTTTCTAGGCCTGCCCTTTCATTTCTGCAAAAGTATATACCATGGCGCCCTAGGACTCCTGCCCTGCCTGACAATGTGACAGGGTGGGTCAGTGGGGATTTCAAACAAAACTTTGTAGAGGCAGAAAGTTCATTTTTAGGACAACTTGACGATGTCTTGTCTGGAACGCAACACCGTGCGCACCACCTATCGTACCTGCAATACCAGCATGGTAGCCCTGGGCTAACAGCGTCAGATAATAGTACTCCGAGTTGGTTGACAGCAGATTCTCTTTGCGAGTTAGGGATTCAAAATGCTGCTGAAATTGACTTAAATATAAGGCAACAAACTCCGGTAGGATACCTCGCAATCGCGAGAGGTTTTCTCAGTAATGTTTTGTTGAACGCAGCGTCGGCTCAGGAAATGAAACACACCGAGCAAGGGCATGTCCTCGGCGGGGACAGTTGGTCATCAGACGCGGTGTCAGCCAGAGAAAATAGTACCGCTGGTAACTGGTGGGGTGGACTTTGGGGAACCGGTAGCGCTCAAGGGTGGCTGTCAAAATTGTCGTGGAGCAAAGAGTGCACTGGGGCAAACAATCAAAACAGCAACGGCCATTGTTTTCAACCGGAGTGTGGTACAAAGGCTACCGTTACCAAGCCAACATGGCTGTTGGTACAGTGCGAAGATTGCGAAAGCACTGGACCCTCCTGCCACAAAGAGGAGCCAACGGACAATGGAATCCTTCAGACGGCCACCTGGCCAGAAGCTCTCCCTTGCCCTGACAGTCTCTCATTAGATCACCAGGAAACAGTCAGTATCAGTGATAATCTTGTCAGTGTTGGAGCTGTCACTGCCTGCAGTGAGGTGGCAGTTCTGACCCCTGACCAGGATAATGGCTATTCCAGTCTGGAAGAAGAACACTCCACCTCCAGACTGTACATGTTGAGGCCTCACATTGAAGAGCTACAGGGGATCACAGAGATGAAGGAAGAGACCATCACGCCTGACACACCAACACAGGGGAGATCTGAAGAGAGCGGGCCAGAGAGGGAGGCATCCAAGCAGAGAGAAGGTGGTGAGACTGCTGCCAGTGGAGGGATGGAATTAGAGGAGGAAGAAGTTGAGGACTCCGACATCTCAGACTCCGAGGAAGAGGAAACGGCGGCTGAGGATCCATCAGTGTCTGCCGCCGCTCTGCCCCCCTCCACCCCCCAGTGCAGTAACAAGGCCATCGCCTACATCATGGGCAGCCCCTTCAGCGACGACAGCCAATCAGACGACTCATTCAGCGAGGAGGATGACGATGGTTTCGACAGTGAGGGCTCGTCAGACTTCTCAAATTCCGAGGTGTTGGATGACGATGATGAAGAGGAGGATGACTCTGAGACTGAGAGACTTTGGAACTCACTGTGCCAAAGCAGGGACCCCTACAACCCCCAAAACTTCACCGCCCTCCTCAACACCACCCCCAGGACCACCCCCTCCACCTCTACAGCCACCACAGACTGCTCCCCTCACACCTCACCCCCAGAGCAACCCCCCTCTCCCCTCTCTTTTTCTTCCCCCTCTCCTGCGGAGGGGTTTGACTCTGAGTCCAGCAGCAGTGAGGTGGATGAGGCTGAGAGCCTGAGGCTGTGGGACTCCTTCAGCAACACCTCAGACCCCTACAGCCCCTTCAACTTTCAGGCCCTGCTCAGGACTAGAGAGCTAGCCGGGACCGGGGAAAAAGCAGGGACAGGGGCGCGCTGTAAGAGGAGCAGCAAGACAACCCCCCGTCATGGACAGGGCCAGGGACAGAGCCACTCACCCCCCCAGTACAGGAAGGAGGAGGCAGAGGAGAGACTAGACAGTGGCTTCTCAGAGACCCTTCCCACCCCAGAGATCACCACCACAGGCTGCGTCACAGTCAAAAAGGTCAGTAGGCCTAAAGAAAGCCACACACTCCTTGTTATTCATATGTTCCTCATTCTGTTTTTATAAAATGGTAGGTCTATTCTTACATTATATCAGTCACATTGTCATCCATGGACATTGGTCGCTCACATGACTGTAGTAAAATGTGAGAACCTGGCAATGACTCCTAAAATTGATTGATTGTCCCACTCAGCAGTCAGACACTGCTGGAGGCCATTTGTTAATGAGTCGCTGAAGAGGAAGCATTGTTTTATCTCCTGTAGTGTATTTACATACTGCCTCAACACAGTCTGATGGTGCCAGCTGGTTTTCCTGACTCCATGACTGGCTTGATGTGACCAGAGTTTTTCTAGATCACTTAGGCTCATGTGGTCTGGAAAGACGTGTGCCCCCCATTCATAAAAAAAAATATATATATAAACAAATAATTGGAGCTCATTGTTCAAACTCCTTATCCAACGTGGTTATCACACAGTCTTTGGACTGGATTGTTGTGGGACAATTCTGACCTTACCACATTCTCTAACTGATGGATTTAGAACATTGGAGTCTATTAGTCACTCAGCATACAGAAAGGGGAGGAGTGAGGGTGGGTGTAAATGCTTTCTCCAGTAGCTGTGCATTAGCTTTTCTGTTTTTATGTGTAAGTATTCCTGTCTGACTGCGAGTGATGTAAACCTATGCAACAACCCTTTCCCCCTCTCTCCTTTGATCAGCATATTTACACCAGGGACACCAGAGTCCGAGAGGCTGGGTGCACTTAGTGAAAACCTCTAGAGCTCTGTATAATGTAATAAAACGTTTTTCAGTTTGACATTCCCATTGAAATGTGCTGTAATGCTATGACTGTTCAGTCAGTCATAGGGCTGTAGCTAAAGCAGCACATTGACCGCTGTTAGACAGATGTGAGTGAAGGCTCTAGCTAAAGCAGTAGTAATACTGTAACAGTACAACGTAGGTAAATAGCACAGAGCTGTGAAACGTGCCTGTCCCAGTCAGTAAAATGGAAGATAATCACCATGAGAGTAGACCTAGTCATCCATGAGCACAATCCCACTGCTGTCTTTGATATGGTCTGGCTGTATTCTCCATGCCCTTTGTATTACATTATCCCCCTATTAAAAGCACACAACTGCCATGTTACTTAGCAACGGTGATAACTGAGCAAGAGCTAGGGAGGGAAAGATCGAGAAAATCAGATTTTTTCTTCTATGGCTCGAAGCGCTGGCTCTTAACGTTCTCGCAACGCTTCCACAATGTTCTCCCAACCCTCCAGCCCATGCCGAGCAGATTTCAGTGTCTTCCATCTGTAATAACCTCCACTCTGATAGTGTATGCTGGTACTGGTAGCCTCAGTCTCCAAGCCTCAGTAGGCTGCCGCTTCTGGAGGAGATGTATTGTCTCTGTGATGAGCTATGGGCCATCCATCACACAGCCATTTCATGGTGCTACCAGTTCGATCCCCCCCCCAGTGATGCTCTAGGGGTATAAATCTCAATCATTTCATGGTTCTTAGATGGCCTAGTTGAGTTTCTTAACTGGATTAGGAGTGACATTTGAAAAAATGCAGAGAGCAGTGGAGCACGTGTGTTTTTCATTATGTGTGTGAATGTCAGGGTTAGGTCTACCGTTTAAAATGGAAGTGTCTTTTTTGGTGGGGGGCATAATTGTAGGTTTGAGTTTTGGATGCTTTATGCACTGCAGTTTCTCCTTTCACAATATTGAGTTAACCTAGTTTGCTTTGGATATTTCCTTTAGTTATGCTTAGGCATTTAGCTACTACTTCTGTGTCCAGCTGAAATGTAGTCTAGTGAGTTGTAAAGTTTACCTCTGTGTTCATTCTATCTGGCCTGCAGATGTTTCAGTGAGAAGGTTCTAGTCTGTGGTGATGTATGTAGTTCTCTCTCACCAGGTGGGTTTCCGTGACGAGGTGGATGAGTTCTACGCCAGCGAGGACGATGAGGACCGGCGTGGGCCATGGGAGGAGCTAGCCAGAGACCGCTGTCGCTTCCTCCGCCGTGTTCAGGAGGTGGAGGAGAGCATTGGCTACATCTTCAGCCCCACCTTCCGCCTCACAGTCTACCAGAGACTACAGCACCACAGCTGATCCTAACCTCTGACCCCTACCAGAGACTACAGCACCACAGCTGATCCTAACCTCTGACCCCTACAACACAACTGATCATAAGTCCTGTTTCTCTGTGACCCTCTAACACCCCTCCCAGTCCCTAAATCCTATTTTCAACAGACTGCATCAGAACTTCTTAGTCATGCTTCACCCCCTTCTCCCCTTCCCTGTCATCCCCCACACACTGACCCCCAAACTCCCAATTCTTCAGACTGGACGTGTAGAAAAGACTACATCAGAGCTGTTGACTAGACCAGTGGTTTACAGACTGTGGGTCGGGACCAGGGGACCAGGTGGGTTGCTTGTGCATTACAACAAAACGCGTTCAGTGTAAACTTACACAACTAAAACTAAATAGAGGGTGCGTAGAAAAGATAATGGATATATATACATGACATGACATGATTACCCCTGGACTAGACTACATCCCCTCACACCTCCCACCCTTACCCCTTACCAGGGTGTTGAAGACTTGATAATACAGACTTCCTCCCTCTCTTCCCACCCTCTTCCTGATCGTTTGCTGTTTTGTTTGAATCTCAGTGGAGTGATTACCTAATTTAGGATATGAATAAGGGTGACGGCATATTGCTAACTAGGTGGTGTACTGGTAATGTAAAGGTAGAAGGGCTTACTGTTTCCAGTGGGAAAAACCCAGTCTAACACAGATCAGGTATTCTGCTGAGCCGTGTGCTCAGTAACCTGAATGGAAAACAGAACTCTACACAAGACACTTCAGCCAAAACTGTCTTTATATTTCGTTTAATTATTTTGTCCTGTTGATTTAAACTGCACTTTTGGCGTTGCGCCGTCCTTCTCTCTGACACATGCTATCTGGGTCTCTGCTCTCGGTAGTGTTCTCAGTTTCATGTCGTGTTGATCTGAACCCAGGCATGGTCAGTATTTAAGAGGTTCAGTATAATCCCATTCAGCACCTACAGCCAAATGTCACACTGCTCTCGAGCTGGATCGGGTTTAAGAGCTTTTGGAAAGCAAACTTTGTTTGAAATTAGTTCATTTGTAGAAAATAAAAATAAATGTACATCTTCTTGTAAACCATGACATGCAGAGTACACACTAACATTGACAGTGTTTTATTTGATTTGATCCTAAGCAGGGGTTGTAAACCTACAGTATGATGTGTTAAACAACCCTCTAAACCGTATTGGTGGTAAAGTGTTGAAACCAAGCCTGTTTGTGTTGTTGGTGTAGTGTCTTCCTGGTTTAAATCATTAGCAGGACTGAGTTCGGGAAACCCTGATTTAGCAGACGCTCTTATCGAGAACGACTTACAGGTATTTATAGCCAAACAAGCAGGTATTCATAGCTAACAGTCAGTAGTGATCCTCTCTGACTATTTCTGGGCTGAAGTGAAGGCTAAGGGTTAAGTGAAAGTATTTGCATGATCCTTGTCTTAAGTGGCCTCCTTTCCTCGTCTACTTCCCTCACTGTGGTTCCTATAATAAACTATTGCTTTAATCTATCTACAATTTGCACCAATAGGCCTCCTTCAATAATGCTTTCGCAAATGTAAAGCTTGCATCCATCAGCGGTCATCTTGGAAAGGAGATGTGTAATTTATAATACATTAAGTGCTTTTCATGAGACCCAAAGTCGCTGAAGTTATAAACCTCCTATCCCTGCTATTTAACCCTGTCACGCCTGTACAGACCCAGTGTTGTGTATCTGTTGTTGAGGGGTTTGTGTTCCTGCTGTGGATAAAGGATTAACCTGTGTTGTGACCAGGTGGAAAGAAAGCAGGGATGTGAAACGCACGTTATTCTGAAGCGATTCTCAGAATGAAAAAATAAGATATGAAAGCTGTGCTTGGATATGAAGAATATAACTATTTAACTTGGTGTTATTTTAGTCAGTGCAATTAACATGAAATTGTTTTATTTTTGTAAAACATTTTAGGATGAGTTAGTTCTGCATAACTGTTATACATTTTGAATTCATATTCATTGAAAATAAATCAATATTGAATTATGCAGTTTCTGTCTCGTTTCTTGCCCCACTTTTCCCTGCAAATAATTTACTGGTCTTATTTTGTTTGACGGCTCAGGCGCAACACCGGACTGGAGGGAGGATTATGATCATCATCATAAAATTGCACTTGACCCCAAAATGGTACTGCATCATTAAACAATTAATATACACAGTGTACAAAACATTAAGAACACCTTCCTAATATCGAGTAGCACCCCCTTCCTAATATCGAGTAGCACCCCCCCGGGGGGCCTGGCAACTACTACCATACCCCGTTCAAAGGCACTTACTGTAAATCTTTTGTCTTACCCATTCACCCTCTGAATGGCACACATACATAATCCATGTCTCAAGGCTTAGAAATCCTTCTTGAACCTGCCTCCTCCCCTTCATCTACACTGATTGAAGTGGATTTAACAAGTGACATCAATAAGGGATCATAACTTTCACCTGGTCAGTCTGTCATGTAAAGAGCAGGTGTTCTTAATGTTTTGTATACTCAGTGTAGATTGGTTTGTGACTAGCTACCACAGACACAAAGTTATAAACCCCACCTATTTCTAGAATTTATCTTCCTAAAATCAGATTTTAACCTTAACACTAACCCCACTGTAACCTTATGCCTATCCCTAACCTTAAATGAAGACCAAAAAACACGATTTATTTATGTATTTTTAAGACATAGCCAATCTGGACCTTGTGGCTCTGCTATTTAGTGGAAACCTGAATATAGTGATCCCCTTTTCTACCGTCCACACAGTAACATCTGTTTTACACAACCCATTTCTTTCTGAATGTACTGTCACGTTGCATGCACCTGGGCTGTACTAGGCCCCAGTATTTAGCATGAAGTCAGTGGATGTGCAGTTCTTAGCAACTGGAGCCAGTCAGCAATGTGAATGTGCAGTAGGAGGTCAAAACATGCACAGATGCAAACAGCTGTCAGACAGAGACCAACAGGTTCGCCTCCCCAAAACACCACAGGCATACTCAGCCTAGAAAGGATTATAGAAAGATTAGCCTATTTTGGGGGGATTTCAGCCTCAATCCTAGAGGCACTCAAAATCGTGTATGAGATGGGTGGCTAAATGTACAGAGATAAACAAATCCTTCTACAGATCATTATGGATAGTGGATACATGGCAATCATTTTAATGGGATAAAACCAGTGGTGTAAGTACTTAAGTAAAAATACTTTAAAGTACTACTTAAGTAGTTTTTTTTGGTATCTGTACTTTACTTCATAATTTTTTATTTTTGACAACTTTTACTTTTACTTCACTAAAGAAAATGATGTACTTTTTACACCATACATTTTCCCTGACCCCCAAAAGGACAGGAAAATGGTCCAATTCACGCACTTATCAAGAGAACATCCCTGGTCATTCTACTGCCTGATCTGGCGGATTCACTAAACACAAACGCTTCTTATGTCTGAGTGTTGGAGTGTGCCCCTGGCTATCCGTACATAAAAAAAAAATCGTGCCGTCTGGTTTGCGCAATATAAGGAATTTGAAATGATTTATACTTTTACTTTTGATACTTATGTACATTTGATCAATTACCTTTACTTTTGATACTTAAGTATATTTAAAACAAAATACTTTTATACTTTTACTCAAGTAGTATTTTACTGGGTGACTTTCACTTTTACTTGAGTAATTTTCTATTAACATATCTTTACTTTTACTCAAGTATGATAATTGGGTACTTTTTCCACCACTGGATAAAACCAATGATGTACGTATACAAACCCTTGGATTTGTCAGTAGTATTTGTTGTAGATACTTATGCCCACAAGAGGGAGCTACATTATGCCCACAAGAGGGAGCTATATTATCAAGTCAGTTATTTTTTTGTATATATATATTTAAATTGAATATTAAAACATACAATCTACTTGCAGTGAAGCCGCTCAACATTTACATTACATTCAGCCATCTGACTCCCATCGTTTTTTTTGTTATGTTCCATTCTCAACCACTAGAGATCGCGCTTGCTTGTTATCACAGCAGGAGCGGACCAGTCGATCGACTGAGATGGTGAAGATCTCAATTGCATACTCCTCACGCCCTCGTCTCCTCAAAACCCATTGGATGAGAAAGTCAGAGGTCCATCCCCTCTGACCCTCTCCTGTAATGAGTTTTGAGAAGGAGACGAGGAGAGAGGACACGAGGAGATCTTCCCGAGGACTGTGCTACAGCTTTCTGCTCATAACGATCATAAATTATGATTTGCTGCCTTACAACATGATACATTTGCTTATTAATGAATTGACATGCATTGCAGTAGCCGTTTTGCAAACCAAGTAGAATACAGTATGTGGTTACATTTATTATCTGTAGAAAACTGTGAAAAGGTGTAGGATAGGACCAAATTAGGTTATGTTAATTGCTGGATGCAGATGTAATCCATTTAATCAGTGTGTGGCCTTCACAGTTTTTGTGGTTACAGCATTATAAAAAATATGAAGAACCGATCAAATCTGAACCAGTTCAGTTGAGATTAGTCTATATTTTCCAATTTATATGACCTGTGTGGCAAAGTCTGTTCAAAGTCTGATTTTGTCCTTCTGAGAACTCTATTCTTCTTCTGATATATGGTGCTCCTCCTGCAGGCCATGGAAAAGTTAATCTGGGACTGACCAATGCTGTCATCTCATTGGCTGACTGGAATGCCTGGGGGTGGTGCCTAGGAGGAGATTAAAGGCTGGTCTCTCTCTCGGTCTCTCGGTCTCACGGTCTCTCTCTCTCTCTCTCTCTCTCTCTCTCTCTCTCTCTCTCTCTCTCTCTCTCTCTCTCTCTCTCTCTCTCTCTCATGAAAGGGGAATTGAGCAGCTGTGAAGTCGCTACCTACCACCAATCTAAAAAGCACTCTCTCCCCTCCCTGTCTGAATTTCTTCCCCCCCCCCCCCCTCTCTCTCTCTCTCAATCTCCCCATCATCACTGCTTACAGAATTACTGGCAGCCTGGATGGGGTCATATGACATT